CAACCTGCCAGTCTACTACTCATTTATTAATGCACTGACATTATTTATACAATTATTACAATAATGCTGTAGTCTGCATAACAGTAAATCTAATGTAATTTATGTGAATAAAAATTCAAAATGGAAAGCATAACTAATGAACAGAGGAAATGTTTTCTTTTTAGTGCCAGGAATGTATACATTGTTTATTCTAGACCCTATTTTTAAACTGGCAATTTTTTAATTTTTAGTGAAAATGGCCAGATTACTGGTTTCTGATCACTTTATAGGGTAGTTGAAATAGGTAAATGGGCAGTTTCTTGTACTCAGCCAATAGAATAGAAGGAACACTAGATAAATAGCTATGAGTTTGGTTGACTGGAACAATGATATTAGCCAAAAATAGGGTTCAAAATGGGCAAAATTGCTGATGTATAAATATCGCCGAGACCGCTAACTTTGCAAGAGTGTAATTCCATAAGTTTTTCATCAAATTTCATACTTTTGGTTTCATTACCTCCAGAAAAAGATTCTGTATAATTTAAAAAAAAAAAATTAAATTCTTCGACCCTGAGAGCAAGTTTGAGATCAGGGGTCTCAACCCTGAAAGAGTTAATGAAATACAGAGGCAACTTTTTATACTAGAGACAGGAATAAGGGAAGAAGCAATTTGAAGTGTTCAGTGACTAAGTCTTGAAGAGTTGGTAGAAAGTTTTCAGTCCTCTAGAAACTGTGAACAGGAGATTCTGAGAGGTCTTGAGGAAGAAGCTATGACTGCACCACTTCTTATATTTACATCATGATGTGAGTAGAAATTTAGTAAAACATTTTTCTGTGTAGAGTCTTGGTAAACTTTAGAGATTGAAAGAGGCTCAGTTTATTAAAAAAAAAACTTTATACAAAAATTATTAATTACATTCCTACTTTCATCATAATGTCAAGACAACAAGATCTAATCGCAGAATTCTTCAAGAGCCTTCAGAATCTCCAGTCCACAGTGCCTAGAGGAGAAGTTTGAGTACATTACACATGCATTTGGCTTGCTACATGTCCCCCTACACTTTATACATATACCCAACAGAACAGATACAAACCCAACAGTAGAGTTGCTAGATATATTGTTTGGCTGGTCAACGATGTAGTGTTTAATGTGGCTGACCTACTTAATAACTAACTCATTAAAATAGTCACTAACTCTGTCAGCTATCAAAACTTTGGTATGGTAGACACACCAGAACTCTACTACCAACACTGGAGTGGGTGATGATTAACAAGCTTACTCTCAATATTGACAAAACCTATTTCATTCAGTTTGGGAACAGAGCTACAAATTTTCCCCTTAACATAATGATAAATGGAACACCTATCACAAAACTCACAGAGGGAAAATTCTTAAGAATCCACCTTGATAATAGCCTCAAATTTCAGACACATGTACAACAAATTTCCAAGAAAGTCTCCAAGACCGTAGGCATACTAACGAAGATACGGTACTATGTTCCACAATCAGCTCTCCTTGCCCTGTATCACTCACTTATTTACCCCTATCTCACCTATGGAATCTGTGCATGGGGCTCAACAACAATAAATCATCTCAGACCATTAATTACCCAGCAAAAAGGCTGCAGTCAGACTGATAACAAATTCCCACTCCAGACAGCACACTCCACCAATATTCAAAAGTCTAAACTTACTCACCGTACAAAACATTCATACTTATTATTGTACCTACTAAAATACATAGAACATTAAACTCAGATATACACCATCCCTTCAAACTTCTCCTTACCAATCTTAACAGAACACATGACCATAACACAAGACACAGATCACTCTTTGATGTTCCCCGTGTCCATCTCACACTATGTAAAAACTCAATGCACATAAAAGGCCCAAAAATTTGTAATTCATTACCAGTGAATACCAAAGAAACACTGTCTGTATATCAATTCAAGACTCTTCTAAAAAACCACCTACTCACCCAAAACTAAATACACAGTACTTAATTTAACTTTACCTACATAGTTAACAAATCACTTTCTACTGCCTCAAAATATCATTACTCGATGTGTAACTCCCCTAACCTTAGGACCCCATAATTAAATGCTCACAGATCAATAAATTCTCACATTTAACCTAATGCAAATATTGAATAACTTATATCTCATAAATATATAACCCAGTTGTATAATTAGAGAAACCTTACCAAACCATGTTATTATAGCATTACCTAGTAGAACAATCCATTCTCTTGAATGCACTGTAACTCATCTAATGACCATATGAACTGTTACTGCACTACAGATCATTGATTTGATTTGATTTGATTAGATCTGATTAATAAATTGTACGACTACATGTAGTAAATTGATCATTTTGTTATATTATTCATTGTAATGTTACAAAATTGTAAAACTATAATGCTTCAAAATTAAAATGTTCAAATTTCATTGTTTAAAATACTCAATTGTACTTGATATTGTAAATTGTTTACTAAAACCTTTCCATCAATATTAATTAATTTTAAAACCTGCCCATAATGCTCTGCATACAAAGGCTTTTGATATGTACACCCAACTACTATAATACCTTGTACAACTATGTATTATGTCTTAACTATTATTATTATTATCATTTTTTTTTTTTTAACAAGTCGGGGGCCGTCTCCCACCGAGGCAGGGTGACCCAAAAAGAAAGTAAATCCCCAAAAAGAGAATACTTTTATCATCATTCAACACCACACATAATCACTGTGTTTATTATTATTATTATTATATTATTATTATTATTATTATTATCTGCAGCTACACAGCCTTGGGACAACACACACACCAGAACAACTCTACTACTAACACTGGAGTATCTGTCAGCTATCACAACCTTGGTACAACAAACACACTAAAACAACTCTACTACCAACAATGGAGTATCTGTCAGCTATCACAACCTTGGTACAGTAGACACAACTAAAACACCTCTACTTTCCAACACTGGAGTATCTGTCAGCTATCACAACCTTGGTAAAAGTAGACACACTAAAACACCTCTACTACCAACACTGGGTATCTGTCAGCTATCACAACCTTGGTACAGTAGACACACTAAAACAACTCTACTACCAACACAGGAGTATACATTGCACCACATGGGGAGGATGAGATAAAAAGTGTATAGATCACTGAAAATTGTTCTGCAAATGCAGCCGGGATTTCGAATAATAATGCCTGTGTATTGTACAGGGGGAATTGTGGACACCTGCAAAATGGAAAAGGCCTGATTAGTTACCCGTGAAAATGATCAATAAAGACAGAAGTCCATGGATTCGACCTTACCACCGACAGTTCCACGAACATCTGGAAGCTTCAGTTTTCCATACTTTTTGCTAACAGGTTATTACCTACATAGAATAGGTCATCATTGGCACTCACTACAACCTTCCCCACCACATTCTTGCAACATCACTTAGGATACAGTCGTGAAAACTGGCACACACCGTAAAATAACAATTACATGATAGAAGAACATGTGGGAAGAATAAGGTTAGATTTCCCGACATCTTCATATTTCCCATGCAATTTGTTTTACTACAATACAAGGAAAAAAATTTCAGTACTACATTATAATTAACCATAATTCCCATAATGCCTGGGCATAATAGAGGCTCTCTTTGCATTGCAACCCACTATTGTAAATATAAAATCTCAATGTACTGTTTGCAAAGACATAAAATAAAAAAATAAATAATACATTCTGGTAGTGCTTTCATCTTGAAAATAATTGTTTGGAGAAGGTTGACATGGGGCTGCTGGGCAGAGGTGGATGGATGTGGTTTTTGTGTATGATGTGGATACAAAATTGTCAGTAACTGATATTTGTATTGTAATGCATCACTGGCATGTTTTAGCCTGCTATACTTTAGAGCTGACCAGAAAAACTTAATATGAACACGAATGCACTTTTTAAAACTTTCAAAATCATCCACTGTTTTTTGAACCTCTCCTTCCTTCTTAAAAATGTTTTCATATATCATAGGATTTTGTTTGTAACTGTCATATACATGTACTTGATTAATTCACACAAAACTCAGTTTCAGTTCTCACTGCACATGCATCACTTCTAAGCATGTCTAACACTTCATTTCTTAACCAAGTCACAGATTCACAATTATTCTCCAGCTGCACATGAAGGTAAACAATACATGCATGAAAAGAAAAATGTAGGGAAATTTCTCAGTATACACCTAGACAGCTAAGTAAAATTCCCCATTCCCTTCTAGTACATGTTGAAGAAAACATCCAAAACAGAAGGCAACCTTTCAGACAAATACTACCATGAACCCCAAATATCACTACCCACTCTGTACTACTCTTTAATCTATCCTTCCCTCACCTAAGGAACATGTGCATGGGAATGTTCAGCAGCAAATCACCTAAAATCCATCATTACTGAACAACATCTGCTATTAGAATGATCACTCAGACAGGTTCCAGATAACATACAAACCAACTTTTATAAGTTTAAATCTACCCAATATACAAAACATCCAAACTTACTACATTGCCTATGTTGGGATTTTATCATTACTGAGCACCAGGTGTTTCAAGAAATTCCCAAGCTCTTGAACATCAAACCATAAATACAAAAATTATGATTAAACAAATATTAAAGTTTATTTTCCAGAGAAAGGTATGATCGTTAAAGCTGTAAAGTCCAGAAAAGAGATGCGCTTTCAACTAAGAATTAATAGCATAAACACATTCCTGACTCTTAAGAAATGCTGGTAACCTGTTATACAGTCTTGGAGCTACACTAGAAAAGGCTCTTTCAGCAAATAATTTCAGACTAAACTAGCACAAGACTCATTCAGACTGAAAGGGTTCTCAGTAATTCGCAGAAACACTGCCGAGCCTGATGCAAAAGGTAAAAGAATACCAGTGAGATGCTTGTGTTCTTTAACTTAATACCTCCATACGTTAATCAACAGTTTAAATTCAACTTATTAAACTCAATAATGTACTCACGCAAGACCATTCTTGATCAATCTTTCAAACAAAGAAGTTTCCAGACCGTACTTGGTTGCTAGTTCATACACTGTGGCACTTGGTCGCAGCTGCTGATGATCTCCTGTTCCAATGATTATCAGTGTTTGTTTTGTTAATGTCAGAAATACAACAGGAATAAAAAACATAATCTAAATTTTTTAACAATTGTGACTCACAAAATTGTAATAATATGACTGTAAACATATCAGGGAACGGGTGATGGTTAACCCATTGGTCTGCGAGTTTTAGAGCTCACTTGCCTTTGGGTACAAACCCATCCTGTTTCAGGAATTTTTTAACAATCATTCCCATCTTTGAGTCGTGTTCTATGATTTATAAATCATACAGTAGAACCCTCATACCCTTTTGCTGAAACCTGGGCTTCTATACCATGTCTTGAGACTTTTTTAAGTTGGAAAATATAAGAGTAAAATGTGGAGCTCTGGTGGACATGACTCACCCTGGCAACAGTTTGGTGTGTAGATACAAACACACTGTAGCTACATCAAGTGTTTGTATCTACATCAAGTGTTTGTATCTACACACAGGGCAAGATTAAGGTATGGGCTTTAGGGGCTGCAGTCCCGTGGAGGCCCTAATCAGATCCAACCCACCCAGTATTCTCCACCAGACTCCATCCTATAAATATTCATGTACCTTTCACTCAGGTAGATCTGTTTGTGACTGAAAAAGCCCACTGTGTGGGGGAAACATTGTCAGTAAAGGATCACATTATACTGCTTATGTGTTTATTTTTCCATGTAAATAATAATTTGATAGCCCAGGGGTCTCACAGTACCTGTAGCCCAGAGGCCCTCACAGTACCTGTAGCCCAGGGGCCTCACAGTACCTGTAGCCCATGGGTCTCACAGTATCTGTAGCCCAGGGGTCTCACAGTACCTGTAACCTAGGGGTCTCACAGTACCTGTAGCCCAGGGGCCTCACGGTACCTGTAGCCCAAAGGCCTCACAGTACCTGTAGCCCAGGAGCCTCACAGTACCTGTAGCCCAGGGGCCTCACAGTACCTGTAGCCCAGGGGCCTCACAGTACCTGTAGCCCAGGGGTCTACAAAATCTTAACCTGGCTGTCTACAATATATGTATGTTAGTATCTATACCTTATATACCTGTTATATTAGGCATGTTTGTATCTACATCTTATATACCACAGTCACTGCAACCTTCTCCAGGTATTCCCATTCAGGGATACCTACACTCGTATTCCAACTGAGGGATATTTACAGTGGTATGTCCTCATGAGGGATATTTACAGTGGTATGTCCTCATGAGGGATGCCAGTATAAGTACCCTTCAAGAGCAATACCTATACTGGTATCCCTCTTGATGGATACCTATACCAATATCCTTTTTAACATAAGAACATAAGAAAGGAGGAACACTGCAGCAGGCCTGTTGGCCCATACTAGGCAGGTCCTTTACAATTCATCCCACTAACAAAACATTTGCCCGACCCAATTTTCAATGCCACCCAAGAAACAAGCTCCGATGTGCAATTTTATTTTTTTTTTTATTATCACACTGGCCGATTCCCACCAAGGCAGGGTGGCCCGAAAAAGAAAAACTTTCACCATCATTCACTCCATCACTGTCTTGCCAGAAGGGTGCTTTACACTACAGTTTTTAAACTGCAACATTAACACCCCTCCTTCAGAGTGCAGGCACTGTACTTCCCATCTCCAGGACTCAAGTCCGGCCTGCCGGTTTCCCTGAATCCCTTCATAAATGTTACTTTGCTCACACTCCAACAGACGTCAAGTATTAAAAAACCATTTGTCTCCATTCACTCCTATCAAACACGCTCCGCATGCTGCTGGAGTCCAAGCCCCTCGCACACAAAACCTCCTTTACCCCCTCCCTCCAACCCTTCCTAGGCCAACCCCATACCCTGCCTTCTTCCACTACAGACTGATACACTCTTGAATGTCATTCTGTTTCGCTCCATTCTCTCTACATGTCCGAACCACCTCAACAACCCTTCCTCAGCCCTCTTGGACAACAGTTTTGGTAATCCCGCACCTCCTCCTAACTTCCAACTAACGAATTCTTGCATTATATTCACACCACACATTGCCTCAGACATGACATCTCCACTGCCTCCAGCTCTTCCTCGCTGCAACATTCTCACCACGCTTCACACCCATATAAGCGAGTTCTAACAATACTCTCATTACATTCCCCTCTTTGCCTCCAAGGACAAAGTTCTTTGTCTCCACAGACTCCTAAGTGCACCACTCACTCTTTTCCCATCAATTCTATGATCACCTCATCTTTCATAGACCCATCCGCTGACACGTCCACTCCCAAATATCTGAATACGTTCACCTCCTCCATACTCTCTCCCTCCAATCTGATATTCAATCTTTCATCACCTAATCTTTTTGTTATCCTCATAACCTTACTCTTTCCTGTATTCACCTTTAATTTTCTTCTTTTGCACACCCTACCAAATTCATCCACCAATCTCTGCAGCTTCTCTTCAGAATCTCCCAAGAGCACAGTGTCATCAGCAAAGAGCAGCTGTGACAACTCTCCACTTTGTGTGTGATTCTTTATCTTTTAACTCCACGCCTCTTGCCAAGACCCTCGCATTTACTTCTCTTACAACCCCATCTATAAATATATTAAACAACCACGGTGACATCACACATCCTTGTCTAAGGCCTACTTTTACTGGGAAAAAATTTCCCTCTTTCCTACATACTCTAACTTGAGCCTCACTATCCTCGTAAAAACTCTTCACTGCTTTCAGTAACCTACCTCCTACACCATACACTTGCAACATCTGCCACATTGCCCCCCTATCCACCCTGTCATACGCCTTTCCAAATCCATAAATGCCACAAAGACCTCTTTAGCCTTATCTAAATACTGTTCACTTATATGTTTCACTGTAAACACCTGGTCCACACACCCCCTACCTCAAATCCAACCCCTCCCACTCATGTACTTATCCAACCTAAATTTGAAACTACCCAAAGTCCTAGCCTCAATAACCCAACTAGGTAGACTGTTCCACTCATCAACTACCCTATTTCCAAACCAATACTTTCCTATGTCCTTTCTAAATCTAAACTTATCTAATTTAAATCCATTACTGCGGGTTCTCTCTTGGAGAGATATCCTCAAGACCTTGTTAATATCCCCTTTATTAATACCTATCTTCCACTTATACACTTCGATCAGGTCTCCCTCATTCTTCGTCTAACAAGTGAATGTAACTTAAAAGGTCTTCAATCTTTCTTCATAAGGAAGATTTCTAATGCTATGTATTAATTTAGTCATCCTACTCTGAATGTTTTCTAACGAATTATGTCCATTCTGTAATATGGAGACCAGAATTGAGCTGCATAATCTAGGTGAGGCCTTACTAATGATGTATAAGCTGCAGTATGACCTTTTGACTTCTGTTGCTTACACTTTTTGATATAAATCCTAGTAATCTATTTGCCTATTACGTACGCTAGGCATTGCTGTCTTGGTTTAAGGTTGTGCTTACCAAACCCCCAAGTCCTTTCGCAATCTGTATGGCTAAGTTCTACATTATTTAACTTATAAGTGCTAGGGGTTATGGACACTCCCGAGCTTCAGAACCTTGCATTTATCTACATTGAACTGCATTGCCACTTTTCTGACCAAGAGTAGAGTTTGTCTAAATCCTTCCTGAGTTCCCTAACATCTACGTTTGAATCAATTATCCTACCTATCTTCGTGTCATCGCGAATTTGCTCATATCACTAGCAATTCCTTCATCAAGATCACTGATATATATTATGAACAACAAGGGGCCCCAAGACTGACCCCTGTGGAAACGCCACTTGTTACTGACCCACTCGGATTTAAACCCCATTTATGGACACTCTCTGCTTCCTGTCTGTGAGCCATGACTCGATCCACGAGAGCACCCTTCCCCCAATGCATGAGCTGCTACTTTCTTTCAACAGTCTTTGGTGCGGAACTCTATCAAATGCCTTACTAAAATCTAAGTAAACAATATCAAATTCTTTATCGTGGTCAACAGCCTCAAAAGCTTTATGAAGAAAGTTAATAAATTAGTTAGACAAGACCGGCCTCTTGTGAATCCATGCTGAGTATCTTTAAATCAAGCTATGCTTATCGAGATGGCTTCTTATAATCTCAGCTATAATTGACTCTAGCAACTTGCCTACAATTGAGGTCAGGCTTATTGGGCGGTAATTTGACGGTAACGACTTGTCCCCTGTTTTAAAAATAGGAATTACATTACCATCTTCCACATATCAGACACTACACACTCGTTTGAAGAGTAAATTAAAAATATTAGTTAATGGTTCACAGACTTCCATTTTGCATCCTTAAGAACCCTTGAAAAAACCTCAATCAGGACCCCGGTGACTTATTTTGCTTCAGTCGGTCTATCTGCTTCACAACCATTTCACTAGTGACTGTGATGTTACATAATTTATCTTCTTCTGATCCACTATAAAAATTAATTACCGGAATATTATTAGTGTCTTCCTGTGTAAAAACCGAGAGAAAATAATTATTTAAAATCGAGCACATTTCATTCTCTTTGTCAGTAAGATGCCCATAGTTATTTTTAAGGGGACCTATCTTATCTCTGACTTTTGTTCTATATACCTGGAAAAAACTTTTTGGGTTAGTTTTAGAATCCCTAGCAACTTTAATTTCATAGTCCCTTTAGCTTTTCTTATCCCTTTTTAATGTCCCTCTTAATGTCAATATACTGATTCATAAGATGACCCTCGCCTCTTTTGACACGCCTATAAATTCCTTTCTTATGCCCTAGTAGATATTTCAGCCTATTATTCATCCATTTTGGGTCTTTTCTATTTGATCTAATTTCCTTATAAGGGATAAACGTTCTTTGAGCAGCATGTATTGTGTTCAGAAAACTGTCATATTGATAGCTCTCTTCGTTACCCCAGTCAACAGATGATAAGTGTTCTCTAAGCCCATCGTAATCTGCTAAGCGAAAATCTGGGACTGTTACTGAGTTTTTCCCTACTATCATACTTCCATTCAATTCTAAATGTAATTGATTTGTGGTCGCTAGCACCCAGTTCCTCTGAAACTTCTAAATTATTAACAAGGGATTCATTGGTTGCCAGAACTAAGTCAAGCAGGTTATTTCCCCTTGTAGGTTCTGTCACAAACTGCTTCAAAAAACAATCCTGAACTACTTCTAAGAAATCGTATAATTCTAAATTCCCAGTCAAGAAATTCCAATCAATATGACTAAAGTTAAAGTCTCCTAGAATTACTACATTATCGTGCCTTGTGGCCCTAACAATTTCCTCCCATAGTAGTCTCCCTTGGTCCCTATCTAAATTTGGGGGACGGTATATCACACCTAAAATTAATTTTTTATGCCCCTCAGAAAATTCTATCCAAACAGACTCTGTATGTGTTACTTCAGACTTAATACCCGTTTTTATGCAACAGTTCAAGCGATCTCGGACATACAATGCCACCCCACCCCCCCCTTCCCGATACTTCTATCTACTTGGAACAATTTAAAGCCCTGAATGTGACATTCTGCAGGCATGTCCCGACTTTTTGAATTGAACCATGTCTCAGTAATGGCAAATACATCTATGTTACCTGCACTAGCAACTAGTCTCAACTCGTCCATCTTATTCCTAGCACTGCGACTATTTGTGTAATAAATTTTTAATGACCCTCCTCTCTCTTTACCCTTCCTGCTCCTTTCTATTATTCCACTAAACCTATTACTGTCCTTGTCAATTAGTGCCACTGGCTTTCCAATATCCACCTCATTTTGCCTATTACTAGTTCTCCTAGTACTCATGTTACTACCCTGCGACTTCACAGTTTTCCCGCCAAAACCCATACCACTAACTATTCCTAGTTTAAAGACCTAACAGCTCCCTCCACTGCGTTGGCCAGTGCTCCCACCCCACACCTAGATAAGTGAACCCCATCCCTGGCATACATGTCATTTCTGCCATAGAAGAGGTCCCAGTTGTCAATGAATGTTACCGCATTTTCCTTACAGTATTTGTCTAGCCAGCAATTGACACATATACTGATATCCCTCTTAATGGATACCTATACTGATATACCTCTTGAGGGATACCTATACTGGTATCCCTTTTGATGGATACCTATACAGGTAACCCTCAAGAGATACCAGTATTCCCAATGAGGGATACCTACACTGGTATTTCTATCGAGGGATACCTACACTGGTATCCCTTTTGAAGGATACCTATACTGGTATCTCCCTTAAAGGATACATATCATGGTATCCCTCTTTAGGGATACCTATACTAATATCCCTCTTGAGGGATAACTATACTGGTATCCCCTTTGAAGGATACCTATACTGGTATCCCCTTGAAGGATACATAAGGACATAAAAAAGGAGCACTGCAGCAGGCCTACTGGCCCATGCAAAGGTATCCTCTTTGAGGCATACCTAATTATGAACAGTAAAAAAAAAAATTAAATGTATAAAAATTCAAGATAAAACTTACCAATAAGTACGAGATGCTGACAGTTGGCAGTGAGGGAAGTGATGACATGCGACTCAAGGATCTCAGCTGCTTCCTCTATGATCACTGAACAAAACAATATTATGTATGAAATAATTATGTCTAATTACTAACACAAGCCAAGAAAATAACCAGTGAGTCATGACAAAGCATTTAAATGGCTTTTTGAGTTGTACATAGTAAGTAAATTTCCAGTTTGCACTCTCACATATTACAGTGGCACCCTGAGTTTCAGCCATAATTCATTCCAGAAGGTTGTTTGAGTGCCAATACTGAACGAATTTGTTCCCATAAGGAATGATGTAAATTAGATTAGTCTGTTTCGGACCCCCAAAAATACACTTACAAAAGCACTTACAATAATACACTTACATAAATGTTCGAGTTGGGGGCTGTTCGAAACTCGGGGTACAATTGACAGAGAAAGTGTTAATAACACAATATTTAGTGATCATACAAATGTGTACATAATAAAACGTGTGTTATTTGATGCAAGAAAATATTAGCCAGCTACTCAAGATATTACCCTGTCACTGTCCAGAACCCCAAAAATTTATATTGTTCTCAATATCCACCTTGTTTTTTGTTATTTTGTCTTCTAAAATGGTAAAAATACAGACTCCAGGCAAGATCAAGACAGACGCACTGAGACAGACACAGATCCTTCAATGAAGCATCCACACTAACTCATTTAACTTGATATCTTTACATTAGTAACAATCATAGAAAGAGTACTGTACTAAAGTGATCAATAATGTTATGAAAACTAGCCTATAACTTGACCAATCACTCTACCTAGTTCATAAGACATTAAATTTTCAATAGGGTGTTATCATAAGTGATAGTATTGATCAACAAGAGCTAGGATACAACATGAAGAATTCTCATAAATGTAAGCTTAGCATTTTATGTTAGAAACACAATAAGCTATTAAGTTAAAAAGCAATTATTGGAAATAAATTTGATCTCTTCTAAGATATTACATAAGCTTACTACTTACCAATGGCCGGGGCCAAGTCTTGCATGATACTGTTGTACTGCGCTGCTCCTGTAGTTGTCATGCCCACCACCGAGGCTCGACGCATGGCATACAAATACTCCTGGTTCCGGGTTTCTTGCAGGGCTCGAGAATGCTTCTGGTAACCTGCTTCCACAGCTTTAACTTTATTTGTTACTTTGTCTATGAGTTTTCCTAACCAGTAATTATATAGTTCCCATCTCTTTGGAAAATCAAGTCTCCATAAATTAAGTTGCTGATTCTTTACCAAGTGACTTAATTCAAAATGGTTTCCAGTTATTTTGAGACCAATATTTAATGCTTCCAGCTGACCAGAGAGAATAGTATGTCTAAAGTAAGATTCTGCATCTGTTATTTCCTTAAAAGTGTTTAACTGCTCAGTAAGGTCATCAACTGTTATTTCATAATTTAGGCGAGGTACTTCACAATTTGCATCATCACCATTATCTTCTTCCAACAATCTATCTTGCTCCTCCAGACCAAGCAACTCCTCTGCATCTTCCCACTCATCACCATTTAAGTCACCTTCCTCTTCCTCTTTACTTTTTTCCTGCGTTGAGGAAGTGGCTTCACTGTGAGGATTTGAAAACTTAAGCTGCTGAACATGATGAAGATCCTCTTGCTGAACATTAAGAAGTAACCATCCAGTTAATTTATCACCAGAAACCACTTCCAACTGTTTTACCAAATGTGGTGGTATAACTCCTTCTTCCTTAAGTATGTCAAGACATATTATCCCTCTGTTTTCTTTACAGTAGAGTATCATATTCCTCAACATCTTCACTTTATATTCAAATTCTTTTATCAGGTTTCGTAAATCATAGTTCCTTTCGTGAATTGCTTGTGGGATAGCACGGCCCCCTTGAAGTGAACGAACAAGGGAACTTATCTGAAATTTATTGATAGTGTCACTCTTTGATCTAGAACCAATTCTAACAATGTTACTTGTATAAGAAGTCATTCCCTCCAAAAACTGATCCAGTGCATGGTTGGTGAAACACACAACCAAAATGGGTGTTGGATGATCCTTATTTTTCCAAGCCTGACTATTGTGCAACAAGATCTGTGTGATCTTGAGGCCTATGAAAGTCTTACCTGTACCAGGAGGACCTTGGATGATTGCTAGCTGACGTGTCAAGCCGCTACGAAGAGCTCTACGTTGTGAACTGTCAAGACCCAAATCATTCTCAGATGGCCATGCTCTGAGATCCTCTTTAACATTCACCTCTTTCAGGTAAATCCACTGACTATCTTCAGGTTCCTCAGTATCTATTTTAAACTTAAACAGTGAATTGTATGCTTCAGATTTTTTCATCATTTTCATATTTCTAATGACTCTTAAATCATATATTTCTCCATCATCTAAATAGAGTGGAGATTTAATATTTGGTTCAACATAAACAATGTAAGGTGCCAAAGGAAAAGATGTTCCAGACATATTTTTCAGAGCCATTAAGACATGTTTATAAGGCATAAAATAGGCCCTTGACTCAACCATCAAGAATTTACTGGACATGTCAAACATCTCAATATCAGACTCAAACTGAACACCAATAATCCCCTTTTTTAACAATTCCTGATCTCTTTCAGCAACTGAGGCAAGAAGCAAGGTTCTGAAGTCATCACTGCTGAAACACAGAAGATTACCATACAACAAACGCTTGGAATTCTCAAATTTGATCTTTTTTGGCACATTCAACTGAACGTGATGAATAATTGCAAGATTCTTAATGTGAGATCCTACAACAGTAACACCTCGGTAAATTCTTACATCCCTAATTTTATTGCCTCTTCCACTCTTGAAATCCTGAATTCCTTTCCTCAAAGGTCTTACAAAATCTTCACGTAGAAGTCGAAACTGAACGTCTAAGTAGTGATCAGGATCATTATATTTTCCCTTTACTATGTTCTTGCGAAGAAATGGTCGTTCAACTGCTGATAAATCTCCAGGTGTGGGAAGTACTGAATATTCCTTAAAATCATCAGGTGGTTCCATGTAGTCCATTTCATACTTCTGTCTTCTCCTTTCCTCAGCATCAAGCTTTTTTTCTTGTTCCCACTGTTTAGAGGCTTCTGTCAGCATTTCTTGTAGGTCTTCATATTGTCTGAAAAGTGTTTCACTTATCAAATTTTTTTCCTTCAATGGTGTCAAAACTGCAGTGCAAGCATCTAATAAATTGGGCAACTTGTCAACAGCATTAGTTGGCATTGCATTTGCATATGCTTCCAAAAACACTTGTAGTTTACCGAAAAAAATTTCTGCCTTGTTTAAATATTGTCTTTTGATTGTAAATATGAAATTGCACAATTTATCTATGAACTTTCTTTCACAAGTTTTGCTGAATAGGTCACATAAGTTTTCCTTATTTGACTGAGTAGAAGTTGCATGCGAGAGAACTTCTATCAAGAGTACAAACTTGTCGTCTTTTATATTATCCTCTTCAAGAAGCAGATGATAGCCTGAGCCTTTCCTTAACAGTTCTGTAACCACTATATCAGATGGTTCTTGTAATAGCCTTTCTAATTCCTTGAAACCCATAGGGTATTCCCTCTCTCTTCTGTGATGTCCCCTTCTGTCTGACCCTGATGCTCTATCATAAGACAGAGACTCACTCAAGCAATCTAAACTTTTAGCACCTCTGCTGTTGCCAAAATCACTACCTTTGCCTCTGTCTCCTCCTCTGCCTCCTCCTCTTCCTCTGCCTCCTCCTCCTCCTCCTCTGCCTCCTCCTCCTCCTCCTCCTCTGCCTCCTCCTCCTCCTCCTCCTCTCGCCTCCTCCTCCTCCTCCTCCTCCTCCTCCTCTGCTTCCTCCTCCTCCTCCTCCTCCTCCTCTGCCTCTACTTTGGCTCTGAGAACCCCTAAAATATTTCCTTTGATCTCTTTCACCACTGTTATAATTTTCTTCATATCTGATGTGATAATCTCCATACTGTCTGGGACTGGAAAAATATCTCGACGGCTCCATTATAGCCAAGTCTGAAAATAAATAATTTAATATATTTTATTAAAAAATTAAGGAAAAGCAAAACTATTATACTACATATTAATTTTGTCAAGAAGCAAATTTTTTAAATTATTATTATCATTAATTTTATGGGGAGGATGGTGTTGTGCCCAGTGTTGGCCCAATGTTATATGTATTTTGAACATTGTAAACTGCAATGTGACATTCACTAAATATTATATCGTGAATATCATCATTAGATAGCTAAAATGAAGATGGTCAGCGTTATACAGTGGACCCTCAACCAGCGATATTAACCCTTTCAGGGTCCGTCCCGTAGATCTACGGCTTTACGTTCAGGGTCCAAACCGTAGATCTACGCCATGAGGTCAGCTCACTCTGATAAACTGTGAGTGGTACATTTGGGCCTAGATATGAGAGAATACATCTATGTGGTATGTGTGCACCACATAAAACAGATCCTGCAGCACACTGTGTATAATGAGAGAAAAAAAATGAAATCATGTTTTTTCGATTAAAACAGCAACTTTGCAGTGTTTTTTCGTATGTTTTTTATAGTTGTATTTGCGATTTCTTGGTCTCATTTGATAGAATGGAAGACATATTACAGAAATAGAGATGATTTTGATTGGTTTTAGCACTGGAAATGGCTTGAAACTGAGCTCAAAGTAGCGGAAATGTTAAATTTTTGCCGATATTCAAGAGTAAACAAACGACCTCACACGTCTAATACAAGTCAGCTGGTGGGTCTAATATACATTCACAAATATGGTGATGATATTTATACAATTATTACAGTATTGCATAACAGTAAATCTTCTATTTTTTGGTGTGAATAAAAATTCATTATGTGAATAAAAAATCAAAATGGAATTTATTTGTAAAGCCTCAAAACATAACTAATAAACAGAGGAAATGTTAGTTTAGTGCCAAGAATGCCTACATTGTTCATTCTGGACCCTATTTTGAAATTGGAATATTTTGAACTTTGTGTTAAATTGGCCAAATTAACAATTTCCGATCACTTTATTTTGTAGTTGAAACAGTTGACTTGGCGATTTCTTGTGCTCAATCGATAGAATCGAAGTAATACTAGTGAAATAGCTAAGAATTTGGTTGATTGGAATAATGTAATTGGCCTAAAATGGGAGTCAAAGTCGGCAAAATCGCCGATTCGTAAATATCGCTGACACATCAAAATTCGCGAGAGCATAATTTCGTCAATTTTCCACCAAATTTCGTACTTTTTGTTTTATTACCTTCACAAAAAGATTCTCTACGATTTCATAAGAAAAAATAACAAATTTTTTTTTTGAAAATTCTTGGACACTGGTGCGTGACTCCAGATTTGGGCCTTGGACCCTGAAAGGGTTAATCCATTCCTGAGAGCTCATCGTTAGTCAAAATTATCGTTAGTCAAGTTAATTTTCCCCATAAGAAATACAGTGGACCCTTGACCAGCGATGGCATCGATTAACGATAAATCTGACTAGTGATACATTTTATCGCAAAAATTTTGCCTCGATTAGCGCTAAAAAACTCAACCAACACTATTCCTTCCGTCTGAGACGCATCCACTTCTGGCCAGTGTTTGCAAGCCAGCCAGCCACCGCGGTCGCTTCCAAGCATACAATCGGAACATTTCATATTATCACAGCCTTTTTAGTGATTGCACCTGCAAAATAAGTCACCATGGGCCTCAAGAAAGCTTCTAGTGCCAACTCTACAGCAAAAAGGGTGAGAATTACTATGGATATGAAGAAAGAGATCATTGCTAAGTATGAAAGTGGAGTGCATGTCTCCGAGCTGGCCAGGCTGTACACAAAACCCCAATCAACCATCGCTACTTTGTGGCCAAGAAAACGGCAATCAAGGAAGCTGTTCTTGCCCAAAAGGTGCAACTATGTTTTCGAAACTGAGATCGCAAGTGATAGAAGATGCTGAGAGACTGTTATAGGTATGGATAAACGAAAAACAGATAGCAGGAGATAGCATCTCTCAAGCGATCATATGTGAAAAGGCTAGGAAGTTGCATGACGATTTAATTAGAAAAATGCCAGCAACTAGTGGTGATGTGAGTGAATTTAAGGCCAGCAAAGGTTGGTTTGAGAGATTTAAGAATCGTAGTGGCATACATAGTGTGATAAGGCATGGTGAGGCTGCCAGTTTGGACCAAAAAGTAGCTGAAAAATATGTGCAGGAATTCAAGGGGTACATAGACAGTGAAGGACTGAAACCTGAACAAGTGTTTAATGGTGGCACTGACAATGTTGTGAAACACTTTAGGAATGTCATAAAAGAACGGGAGGTACAGGTCTCTATGGGCAGATATGTTGTGCGACAGAGGTCCAGTGACTCTCAAGCTGGTCCTAGTGGCATTAAAAGAAGAAGGGAAGTAACCCCGAAAAAGGACTTGCCACCTCAAGTCCTAATGGAAGGGGATTCCCCTTCTAAACACTAAGACCATCAACACACTCCCCTCTTCCCATCCCATCAATCATCACCAGATCTTCAATAAAGGTAAGTGTCATGTAACTGTGCATGTCTTCTTCAGTTTGTGTGTATTAAAATTAATATTTCATGTGTTAAAAAAAAAAATTTCAATACTTTTGGGTGTCTTGCACGGATTAATTTGATTTCCATTATTTCTTATGGGGAAAATTAACTTGACTAACGATTATTTTGACTAACGATGAGCTCTCAGGAACGGATTAATAGCGTTAGTCGAGGGTCCACTGTAATGGAAATCAAATTAATCCGTGCAAGACACCCAAAAGTATTGAAATTTTTTTTTTTTAACACATGAAATATTAATTTTAATACACACAAACTGAAGATTACATGCACAGTTACATGACACTTACCTTTATTGAAGATCTGGTGATGACTGATGGGATGGGAGGAGGGGAGAGCGTTGATCTTCTTAGTGTTTAGAAGGGGAATCCCCTTCCATTAGCACTTGAGGCAGCAAGTCTTTTTCTGGGGTTACTTCCCTTGTTCTTTTATTGACACTAGGACCAGCTTCAGAGTCACTGGACTTCTGTCGCACAACATATCTGTCCATAGATACCTGTACCTCTCGTTCCTTAATGACTTTCCTAAAGTGGTTCACAACATTGTCAGTGTACAGGTTGCCAACACGGCTTGCAGTAGCTGTGTCAGGGTGATTTTCATCAAAAAAGGTTCAAGCCACTTTGCACACATTTCCTTTATTTTAGAAGCAGGCAACTTCTTCAATTTCTCTCTCCCCTCCTCCGAAGCAGTTTCCTCAGGCTTGCCCTCTTGCTGTTCAAGATGATCTAGCAGTTAGGTAAGACACATATGCAACAGATAGTTCCTGACTATGGAACTGAACTTCTCCAGGCCGAGGGACTGACAACCTCAAATTCTACGACTTTAAGGGTGATGGACTGATTACATCGTCTTCACATCTCTACTGTTCCTGCCTACTTTCTGTATTCGACTGAAGAAGCCTACTGTGTAGGCGAAACGTTTCGGAATAAAGGTGTCTAACTGTTGCATATGTGTCTTACCAAACAACCTGTCAGTATTGTATACCATTTTGATGTTCATGATCTAGCAGCTCATCAGTGGTTAGTTCTTCACTGTCCTCCACCACCAACTCTTCCACATCCTCCCCACTAACCTCCAACCCCAAGGACTTCCCCAGTGCCACAATGGATTCCTCAACTGGCATTGGATTCTCAGGGTTAGCCTCAAACCCTTCAAAATCCATTTTGTCTACACATTCTGGCCACAGTTTTTTCCAAGCAGAGTTCAAGGTCCTCTTAGTCACTTCCTCCCAAGCCTTACCTATAAGGTTTACACAATTGAGGATGGTAAAATGATCTTTCCAAAACTCTCTTAGAGTCAGTTGAGTTTCTGAGGTCACTACAAAGCACCTTTCAAACATAGCTTTTGTGTACAGTTTCTTGAAGTTGGAAATAACCTGCTGGTCCATGGGCTGCAGGAGAGGAGTGGTATTAGGAGGCAAAATCTTCACCTTAATGAAGCTCATGTCCCTAGAAAGTCGCTCTGCCAAGTCTGAAGGATGACCAGGAGCATTGTCTAATACCAGGAGGGACTTAAGGTCTAATTTCTTTTCAATTAGGTAATTTTTCACATTGGGGGCAAATGCTTGGTGTAACCAGTCATAGAAAAAGTCCCTAGTGACCCATGCCTTACTGTTTGCCCTCCACAGCACACAAATTAGTCTTGAGGACATTGTTTTTCCTGAACACTCTGGGAGTTTCAGAGTGATACACCAATAAAGGCTTCACTTTGCAATCACCACTAGCATTGGCACACATCAACAGAGTAAGCCTGTCTTTCATAGGCTTATGTCCTGGGAGTGCCTTTTCCTCCTGAGTAATGTACGTCCTGCTTGGCATTTTCTTCCAAAACAGGCCTGTTTCGTCACAATTAAACACTTGTTCAGGTTTCAGTCCTTCACTGTCTATGTACTCCTTGAAGTCCTGCCCATATTTTTCAGCCGATTTGTGGTCCGAACTGGCAGCCTCACCATGCCTTATCGCACTATGAATGCCACTACGCTTCTTAAATCTCTCAAACCAACCTTTGCTGGCCTTAAATTCACTCACATCACTAGTTGCTGGCATTTTTGTAATTAAATCGTCATGCCTCTTCCTAGCCTTTTCACATATGATCGCTTGAGAGATGCTGTCTCCTGCTATCTGTTTCTCGTTTATCCACACCAATAAAAGTCTCTCAACATCTTCTATCACTTGCGATCTCAGTTTCGAAAACATAGTTGCACCTTTGGCAAGAACAGCTTCCTTGATTGCCGTTTTCTTGCCCACAATAGTAGCGATGGTTGATTGGGGTTTTGTGTACAACCTGGCCAGCTCGGAGACACGCACTCCACTTTCATACTTAGCAATGATCTCTTTCTTCATCTCCATAGTAATTCTCACCTTTTTGCTGTAGGGTTGACAATAGCTTTCTTGGGGCCCCATGGTGACTTATTTTGCAGGTGCAATCACTACAAAGG